GGGGAGGGAGGGGTTAAAAAGGGTCCAAAATCGCGTGACGTATTATGTGTACGGCCCCTAACCTGAAATGGAGAGTTTTAGGAAAAATTTTGTGTATCTTTAGTATGTGCGCAGTATGTGCACATGTTTGTATAGAGATGTAATTTACGAGAAGGTTCTTTATGCTGTTAAACTGTTAATTTGCATATCATTCGATTATATCGTGTTTATGTTCAAACATCAGGATCAATTATGGCATTCAACTGAGAAGCGCTTACGCAAGTGAAACCATATCACGAACAACTGAGTGTAATATCAAGTGTAAATGCATATAAAGGGGTTTGAAATGTGTGTGTCTATACGTATATGTGTATATTTAAGTATATACATAAATATGTAGGTGTATAAGTATATACATAGGTACATAGGTATAAATATAGGTATATAGGTATATTCTGTTGTATATACAACATGTTTTATATACAAACAAATATGTATATACAACTGCTAATTATCACAAATGTGCGCCCAAGTACTTTAAACACGAAAACCTTCAATGTCGTATTATAATCAAAATACAGTAATTCTGAGTGTATCGCTTAATAATAATTTTTTTTTAACTTTTTTTTTATACCTAATTCTCAAAGGGCGCAGAAGAAATGTGTTGTGTGTGCGAGCTTATAAGAAGTAGGTCAGATTAAAAATCAGTTCACGCAATTCACGTAGACGACGAAAGATTTCCATAAATCATATTTTTCCTTAACCGCATGGGATTAAGTAAAAAAAAAAGAAAAAAAAAGAAATGAAAGATTGAAAAGTTCAAGCACTCAACCTTGCTTTTGACAAATTATTATTTTAAAATATATATGTATATAGTATTATATAAAATAAAAAGCTGAATGACTTTAATTATTAGTCTTAGAAGAAAGAAAATTTCTCTTTTTTTTATCAACACGTCATGGTCGCATTAATTCTTTTAACATAATTATTACTCATTCTTATTATAATCAAGGAGTTATTTTATTAGAATTTTACATGAATATTTTTAAAATGTTGGGTTTGAATTTTTTATTGTGCTTCTTAGCTAAATTTATTACTGTTATTATATTAGTATTAGTATTATTATTAATATTATTATTATTATTATTATTATTATTATTATTATTATTATTATTATTATTATTATTATTATTATTATTATTATTATTATTATTACTATTATTTGTTAGTATTATATTATAATTGCTACTATTTTTACACTAATTTTTTAATTGTTGCGGTTACTATTGAAACAAACTTCGAAATTTGTTTAAAATGATTCCCAACGTACTTAAACTTGACACGAATGAGTGTACATTGTTTAAATTGACTCATACTGGTTAAAAATGATATAAAGTTGCCCTAAAGTGGTCCAAAATTATCCTAAGCATGTTAAAAACTACCACTAAAGTGATAAATTGTTACCAGATTGTTTTAAACGATCACAAAATATTTTAAATTGATTTAAAGCTGATACAAACGAGTTAAAACTATTTGGAACTTGTTTAGATTAACTCAAACTTGTTTAAAATGATCCACAGTTGTTCTAAAGTTGTTCAAAACGGTCCTAAGTTGCTCAAAGTGGTCCAAAGTTATTCCAAACATAAAGTGATAAACTGTTGTTAAGTTTTTTTTCAACGCTCCCAAAATATTTCAAAACTGATTTGAAGCTGACACAAAAGAGTTTTAACTGTTTGGAATTCGTTTACTTTAAATTAATCCAAACTTGTTCAAAATTGTCCAAATTTGTCCTAAAGTTGTTAAAATCCATCCAAAGTTGTTCCAAACATATTGTAAACTATCTCTAAAGTGATAAATTGTTGCCAGATTGTTTACAACACTCCAAAAATATTTCAAAACTAATTTGAAGCTGACAAACATGTTTGACTTGTTTGAAACTAGTTTAAAAATAAACTGATACCAGATTGTTTTCAACGCTTACAAAATATTATAAAACTGATTTGAAATTGACACAAACAAGTTTTTACTGTTTGGAACTCGTTTAAATTAACTCAAACTTGTTCAAAATTGCCCTAAACTTGTTAAATGCGGTCCAAAGTGTTTTAAACTGTTCCAAAATTTATTTAAACTGTTACAAATCAGTTTAAAATGTTTTGAACCTGTTGAAACTGTTCCAAACTTGTTTAAACTTGTTTAAACTGTTGCGAACTGTTTCAAACAAAAGTTTTAATTGTTCCAAAGTTTATTTAAACTGTTGCAAACCTGTTTAATCTGTTTCAAATTTATTTAAACATTTGCAAACTTGTATAAACTTATTTAAACTGTTCCAAATTTTATTTAAACTGTTGCAACCATGTTTAAACTGTTTCAAAATTGTTAAAAACTTTTTCAATTTTTTTTTCATATTTTTTGAACTTTGTTTTAATTTTATTTACATCTAGTGTTTTTTTTTTTAGTTGATCAATTCCAAGCTAATTCGAATTTTATTTACAACCAGTCTAAACATGTTTGAACTATTTTCTTTCTATTATTATTTATTTTTCAAATGGACAAGAAAGAGGACTTTAAAGATTTTTATTATCTTTTATTGTTTCTTAAATTATTTTTATTATTATCATTATTTTTATTATTATTTTAACTACTCCTCCTCTCTCACCCTGTTAAAAAAAACATGATTATAATTTTTTTTCAATTTGGTTGTTATTATTAAAGTTTGAACTGTTTTTTTCAAATCCTATTATCAGTCGTTCATTTTTCTTCTTCTAAAAATTTTTATAGACGTGTAGCTTCCGTAATGATTTAGTTTGCCATTTTTGTGCCATTAATTATTTTTAGTCCACTTCTTTAGCACCTGTTGGTTGCAATGAAAATTCTTTGGAAACAATGCCATTTAACTTAATTTAGATCACATTTGGTTTGAAAGCAGATTTTATGATTTTATTCCACGAGAAATAATATTATTTGAATCAAATTTTTCTCTCCTATCGTTTAAAAATTTACGATCCTTTTCGTTTCGTATTTTTTTTTTTTTATTTAGAATTTTGATTTTAGTTCTTTTTAATTTTTTTTTTTTGAATAAATGGTGTGGGGGAGGATTTCTATTATTATAATTCTATATTTTACTAATATTTATTTTTACTTTATTGATTAATTTACTTATTTATTGTTATATATTATTCTTATTAATTTGTAATTTGTATCATTTCTTTTGCAATTTGTACGCAAAATTTGCCACAGATTTTTTTTGTTAATCTTAATTTTTTTTTATTAAGAATTTTCACAAAGAATTAAATTATTTTCATTTTTTGTTGAAATGGAATTTCTATTATATTATAATTTTATAATAATCAATAATTAATATTTCATATTTATTTTAGGCCTTTTTATTATTTTATAATAATAGTAATATTATTATTATTATTATCCCGTTAATTTATAATTTTTATAATATTCTCTAATAATAAATAAAAAAAATAAATTTTTTTTACCAAATTTGCAATAAATTTTTTTTTATTCCATATAAAAAAATGAAATTTCTATCAGAATTTATTTTTAGACGGAATGGTAAACACAATTTTCGGAATAGAAGAAAAAATTTTAATTTGCAAATTTTTTTATTCAATTAAAACGATGTTTTTTTGCTGTTCAAGTGAAGAAAATATAAAGTGAGGGAATTTTTTTTAATTTACGGTTTTTTCAGATTAATTATATATAGTAAATGAAGTTTTTTGTTAATTGGATACTTCGCTAATTGCACGATGCAATATTGAATATGGGAGCTTAATATGCGAAGATTAATTATTATAACGAGCTTGTGGTTATATATATGTATATGCATAGAGTATACAGAATACTTTATTGGAATAATGCTTCATAATTGGTTCATTATTATTAAATCTTTTGGTTTATTGTCGTGTGGAATTGTATAGTGTGAGTGAATGTTTTTTGGGGACAAAAATAGATTTTCAGGATAATTATTCTCTGAGGAGTAGTTTCCCAGTTTTATTAAATCGATGTCACATACGGACATTGAATCGATCCATATAACCATCCCCCGCTCTTTTCTCTCGCTCTCTCTCGCTGCTGTGTGCCGGAAACCAAGCCAATCTCGGTCACCGTCGCGCCACTGACACGATAAATCATTCTCGACCTGATGTCACTTTGTATAAAAGTTTATGGTCTTGTGTGTTGATATATAGCTATATATGCATGTAGCTACTCGAAAAAAGATAGTTTCATTTTTATACATCAAAGGCGGTAATTTTTGGTGGAAAAATTCCCTTGCATTACGAAAATTTGGTATTTTTATTTACTTTTTACAAAATTTGAAAACTTTATTATCATTTTTTTTGTATTTTCAATTCGAAATCTTGAATATTGAAACCGAAACGTGGCCGAAATGTAAAATTTCGTTTTTCATATTAAAAAAGATAAAATTTAAAGTTTTGCCCAAGAAAATGCTTTTTGAAATTAAAAAATTAAAATTTTTGAAAACTTTGCATACCTAGTTTAATTTTTTTTGTGCACAATTTTTAAAGTTGAAGCCAAAACGTGTCCGAAATATAAAATTTCGTTTGTTATAACAAAAAAGCTCAATAATTAAATTTTTATACAATAAAATTCTTACTTATTGTTTTAAAATAATTTTTATTTTTAAATTAAAATTTTCGAAAACTTATTTAAAATTTTTTGTTATACGATTTTAGAAATTGAAACCGTGGCGTGTCCCCAAATCTCAATTTTGAAATTAGTTTCTTTTTAAATATTTCAAGAAAACAATTTCACTTTCCAAAGACTCAAAATTTCAAATTTACTCAACAGGAATTTTGATTTTTTTTTTTAATTTTATTTATTTTAACTTTATTTGTTTCCTAACTTTCAAAATTCGGAGTTTCTTTTGAAAAATAGGATTAACAATTTTTTTTTTTTAAAAAGTCCGGAATTTTTATTTGTCATTCGTTTTTTTTCAAAATATTGAAATAAATCAAAATCAAAGCAGTGTAAAAAATATTAAAACTTACCGGGAGTAAAATTTACAGGCTTTTCCCCAAAATCGAGACAAGTTTTGTAGAAACGACCCACATTTGTAAAAACCCCAGTCATTTTTCCAGATTTATTTGTCAGCATATCTGAAAATCAAATTTTTTTTCCTCTTTTTACTAATTATTTTATTATAAATGAAAATATTTTATAGTTTTAAAACTTTTAGTTATAATATTTATTTTTTTTAACTTCTATTATATATATAATATAATATATAAATTAAACAGAAAAATATTTCGTTAAAAGAACAAGCAGAAAAGGAATGTAGGGGAAAATTGTGTTTGAAAAATAAGGGAAAGTTGTATTATACATAATTCTTAAAATTTTTCAAGTGCATAAAATTTCAAGCCCATTATATAATATTAATTTAGGAAATTCCCTCGATGCCTTTATAAATGACATTATATATGTATATATATGTCGGGAATTTCAAAAATCTACAAACTCGCAGAAATTTATCCCGAGGTTTTATCTTACGTTCATCGTTTATAACATTTTCCAACTTTATGATATATTGTGTTAATGTGAATTTTTTAAATTCCAGGGGCAGAATATAAAAAGTTACGGACGTCATTCGTTGATAATCAATTTAGAGAATTAATATTTTAATAGGTAATTTCATTAATATTTTAATTTATAGCAAAAAAGGGTTTTTATAAAAAGGAAATTTTTAATTTGTATAATTTTTTTCTATCAATTTCAATAATTAAATTAACTATATCTCTTATTTAACACTTTTGACCTAGTGGTTAATTTTTTTTCATTTTACATATAATGTATTCAAAAATTCCATCACAAAACATAAAATTTGAACGAATTTTTCATTTTATGTTCTTTTTCTGACTCATCTTGCTAATATTCATCCCATTGTGTAATTAACCTAAATGGACAAATTTTGAGGTTTTTCGCATTTTTGGAAATATTTATCCCATTGTGGATTAGCCCTAAGTGACCTAAATTTTAAGCTTATTTTTGTTTTATAACTTATGGAAATATTTTTCTCATTGTTAGAAAAAGGTAGATTATGCATTTTGAGTCCCTCTAATTATGCGCTAAAATTGTGCACAATTATGCGGAATTATGCGCTTAAATTGTGTACAATTATGTGGAATTATGCGACTAAAAAAATGAATTCTGCGTTAATTATGCGCTAAAATGAGCATGATTATGCAGAATTATGCAATTAAAAAGAATTCTGCTTCAATTATGCGCTAAAAAATGTTCATTTTACAAAATTATGTTGCATTTAAAAAATTTTTTTTTATTTGAAACCGTTACTGGTTATTTTTCGAAACCAACTTCCCGAAAGGCCCTATCCCGAATGTCTAAAATTACAAATACCTTTTTCCCGAAGATTTATGTACCCAAAAATTTTTTTGTTTTTTATTATGAAATGGATATATGTGCGACTCCAAGTAAGAATTTAGTTTTTTCGGAGTAAGTAAACCAATTGCAATAAAATTCAGGAATTTTAATCTACACATAAAAAGAAATGTTTCCACCACACTTAATTCAGCAATAAAAAACGAAACAATTGTTTATATTATGTTTATACAAATTTTTATAAACAAAACAGGTATTAACTATAATAATCTTCGAATTCATTCAGTCTGTCCAGAGCGTGTACATTCCGTCCGCAGTGAGAGAGAAAGATTGATAGAGAGAAAGAGAGGGAAGTATCGCCTGCCCTTTTAGTTTAGAGTAGGAGCGAAGGAGAGGTGAATAATTAAGAAAGTAACGCCTACTTTTCTGTTTAGAAAGAGGTATCATGTTTTCTCCCTTTTCTGTGTCAGATAGAAAGAGTGCAACAAGAATTGGTAGGGGAAGGAAAAGTGGGGAATTTCACTTTTAAGCGAAAATACTAAAAGGGGGTCTTAATTGTTTATTGGCTGATTATTTTTCTCTTCTCATCTCAGACAGAAGGAGTGAATGAGAGGAAGATAGAGAACGAGGTATGAAAAGTAACGGAAGTACGAGTAAGGGTTTCAATTTCAAAGAGTATCTTTATTAAAAAATCTTTAAAATTTTCTACTTTACAGTTGAATTTGATTTTCTATTAATAATAATTGTGAAAATTTGAACTCAGTGAAATATTTTGTTAGAGTAAATAAATTTATTTTGGTTAATGTTTTGGGATAATTTTTGATTTAATTTTTTTCAATTATATTAGTTAAGATATTATTGCACTTTTTATATATTTATTTGTACTTATGTGCTCATGATTTACATGAGTTTTTTGCTTTATTAGATGTGCTTTATTATATGACTTATGCGAAATCATGTGACTTATGCGAAATTATGCGACTTATTATGCGTATTATTATATGATTTATATGGGAAGAAAATGCGATTTATGTGACTTGTATTATTTATGCAAACTATGTGTTTTATGAGATTTTTGAGAAATTTGATGACTATTTATTATTAATTAATTAAATATATAATAAATAGAAAAAATAAAATAAATTTAAATGTAAAGAAATGTTCATATAAAAAATAAAATAAACTATAAAAAATTATTTATATTTATTCATTATTTTAATTTATTTAGTTATAAGATAGAAGCTTTAAGTTTAAGTCTGTTTTCAAAAAATAAGTTTTTGAAAAATATTAAATTATTAGTTCATTTTGTTAAAAAATCATGTCTAACAGAGAAGAAAAAGTTTATTTAAGTGATAAAGATAATAGAATTCTACATACTGAAGGAAAAATGTTAAATGACAATCATATTACTGAATTTGAAAAGTTGTTGAGAAGAGAATCAAATTTATCATTTAACATGCAAAGTACTTTATATTTAATTACGCCTGAATTCATTATTCCGATTGATAAAAATCAGAAGCACATTCAAATACTTTTAAGTGGTGCTTGCAAATCTGGTCACTGGATTTGTACTTATTATGATGGATTAAGGCTATATATTTATAATAGTCTTAATAAGGAATGCCTAAATGAAGATCAAAAAAAATATTTACTTAGATTATATCCTTTCAAACCGCCGGTAGTTTTTTCAACTGTTAATCTACAACCGAATGGAATTGACTGTGGCATATACGCAATAGCGTTTGCAACATCTTTATATTACAATGAATTGCCAAATACTGTTAATTATATTCATAGTGAAATGAGACGACATCTAATTTTTATGTTTGAAAATAATCGTTTAATTTCATTTCCTTCCGTGGAATTGACAAACGTTATTAGACCTTTTTTTGTTGAGTATGATTGGAAACGTCTTTTAACGGATGGAGCTACAAAACTCATAGAAATACCAAACTCGTCTTCCATTTGTGAAACTAGTATCAGTATTAGTAATAATAATGTGAATAGCGGTATATCTACAGAATATTCAGAGGAGAAGCTTAATGGAAACGAAAACTATGAGAAAAAGAGACATCGCGCAATAAAAGATAATGAGAGGAAAAGGAAGGTAAAGCTCGAAGAAACAGATGAACAGAAATTAATCAGACTAGAAAATGATAGACTGAGAAAACGTAATTGCCAAAAGGCTAGAAATATAGATGAAAAGAAAGTAATGACGCAAAACAATTTAAATAGTAAAAAAATTAAATTATCTCTAAAAATAGAAAATGAAACCAAAGGTCAACAAAATTTAAGTAATAAGGATTGTAAAATTTTAAATAATGAAGGAAAAAAGTTAAATGACAATCATATTACTGAATTTGAAAAATTGTTGAGAAGAGAATCTAAATTAGCTTCCGACAATAATGTTAATAGAGGTATATCTTCAGAATATTCAGAGGAGAAGCTTAATGAAAATGAAAAAAATGAGAAAAAGAGATTTTATGCAATAACAGACAAGGAGAGAAAAAGGAAGGCAAGGCTTGAAGAAACAGATGAACAGAAAAAAATCAGACTAGAGAATGATAGATTGAGAAAACGTAATTACAGAAAATTGTTAAATGTAGATGAAAAGAATGTAATGAAGCAAAAGAATTTAAATTATAAAAGAAAACAATTATCTTTAGAAACGGACGATGACAAAAAAAATCGACAAAAAAATAATTTAACATGTAAAATGAATAAAAAAAATGGAAAAATGATGGAAACTTTAGGAGTTGGAATTATGTTGTCTGAAGAGTTTGATGAACATAAAGTTACACAAAATTATTTAGGTGTAATGAATGTCAAATGTATGTTTTGTGACGCGTTACATTTTTTGTGTGAAAGGCCACAGGATAAAAAATTTAGTAGTTGTTGTCATAAAGGAAAAGTAAAGTTGTATGATTTAAAACCTTATCCTTTGTATTTGAAAAATTTATTATTTGATAATAACTTTAAAAGTAAGAATTATAAGGAAAATATTCGATCTTATAATAGTTCGTGTGCATTTGCTAGCATGGGAGCTAAATTAGACGTTCCAAAGGGATATGGTCCTTATGTATTTCGTATACATGGACAAGTGTATCATGATACATGCTCTCTTCATCCTGATGATGGAGATAATCGAAAATATGGTCAATTGTATATTCTTGATACTGATGAAGCGGTGATGGAACGATTGAATAATGAATGTAATAAAAAATGTTTACAATTACTAATGACTGAAATAGATATTTTACTTAGAGATATTAATATTTATGCAAAGTCATTTAAAATGATGAAAGAATTGGAATTGGAAGAAGAAGCAAGGGCAAAATTAATGAATGAGTGTCCGAGAAGCATTCAAATGTGGTTTAAACGTGATCCAAAATTTTCTCAAAGCAAATATAATGTTCCGTCTTGCAATGAAGTAGCAGTTATATTTGTTAGCGAAGATGGTGAGCCTCCAATTGAACGTGATATATGTATACATCCAAGGGGTTCTAAAAGTATTCCAATTAGTAGTCTTAGCACACATGCCGATCCCATGACATATCCTTTAATGTTTCCGTCAGGTGATCCAGGATGGACTGTAAATATGAAACATACTGATGGTGTTCGTAATATTACTCCTTTACAATTTTATATGTATCGCTTGTCTTATAGAGGAACATTTAATCCATGTTTACAAATGGGTAAATTAACTCAACAATTTATTGTTGATAGTTGGTCAAAAGTAGAAGGTGAGCGTTTAAAATATATT